TTACAAAATTTTAAGTATGGAGGCATCAATTTGTATTCATCAATTTTCCATTTGTTGAACCTGTATTGATGGCCAGATAAGCAGATTGCTCAAGGCAGTTACCCAGACCCACACTTCATTGCCCTCAAACATGATACGATTGTACTTAGTTCGAGAAGTATGGAACTGTATTCCATACTTTCAGAGTATAAATAATCAAAGCTATTCAAAAACAGATTGTATTCAAAGGACCTCATTGATATTAAAGCAAGATCCCTTACTCGGCTGTCAGTTCTCCTAAATTTAGTCTGGATTGCATGGTTTTCTTTCTTTTCCACATTCCTGTCCCATCTAGTTTGACCACCTTTGCAGCTGTGTGGTGTTCTAGCTATTTTCCTAGGATAATTTATGAAAGTGTGGGCTATTGATCCTATTCACATTCTTATACTGCAGTCAGTGTGGCAAGTATCTGCAGAAATGCAGTCTTTAAGAAGACTGCATTTATTCTTTATTTCCCTTTGGATTCAGTGCATTTTTCAGCCTGGCAAAAATAATTAAGATGCATTTTTATTTTTACTTTACAATGAAGACACCTTTCTTTGTGCTGCTTTCACTAGGGATTTTCATGTGTGCTGAGTACCTGCCAGTTCTGGTGGTTATTACTCAAAGCAGGATCATGCAGTGCTGTTCAGATAACTGTGAAGACATCCAAGTTTGATTCTGCTTTTGTTCCTCTTTCAAAAAAGTGCAGAAGTGCTGTGTGTTGATTCCTTTGATTTTTATATAAGGAACTGCTTCACAAGTAGGTATATGACAAACCTTTGCCTATATCTAGATTAGATTAACAGAATCTCTCTCACCGTGTTTTTCAGAAGTACCATATCTCCCTTCGTGAACCTATAGGCAGCAAAGGCATTTAATTCAGGAGGAAAGCCTCACTCATACCCAACATTTAGACTAAATTAGGCAGACTGAATCTCACGGCCTATAGTTATTCACATTTTCATCCATGACTTTTCTTTGTATTCAAATAAATATATTAATTCAAGTCTACTAGAAGTAGCTTGAGAATTGTCTTGCTGATTTGTCATTTTCCAGCTACACCGTTAGGTGGCAGAGAACAATAAAGATTTACGTAATGAAAATTAATGCATACAATATGTTGAAATGCAAATCTGTCATATTGTTCTCTCCACCCTATGTGAAACAGATTTACTTCCCACTGTGAACTGTCAAGAGCTTTGTCTGGTTATTTATTAAGTGACTTACCAACAGCATTCACTGCTTTCATCAGGTCTGTTTTAGATTTCATTTCTGTGAAACCCTTCTGCCAAATAAGAAAAAAAAAACATATCCATTGAACTGGGAGTTTTTCTGTTCTAAATCTGAAATCATCATCGGTTTCTTTCTAAATCCTTAGAATCAGAATCATAGAATCACAGAATCATTAAGGTTGGAAGAGACCTCTAGAGATCATCTAGTCCAACCCCCCTGCACATACAGGGTCACCTAGAGCACGTGGCACAGGACTGCATCCAAGTGGGTTTTGAAGATCTCCAGGGAAGGAGACTCCACAACCTCTCTGGGCAGCCTGTTCCAGTGCTCTGTCACCCTCACTGTTAAGAAATTTTTCCTTAAGTTTCTGTGGAATTTTTGATGCTTCAGTTTGTGGCCGTTTCTTCTAGTTCTGTCGGTGGCCACCACTGAAAAGAGGCCAGCACCATCCTCCTCACT